TGGTGGGTGTGCGGGTCGCGGGGGGGGGGGGGGCAGAACAGGCAGCGCTGCCCGCTTTGCAGCTCCCAGGCAGGGGTTGGGTGCAAACTGGGGATAGGGAGGACCCCCCCCCAAATTAACCCAACCTTGGACCCCCACCGATCCATCCCATGGATGCCCTGGCGAGCGCGACGCCCCGGGAAGTGAGAAAACGGCGTTATTTCCCTGTTTTGTCTTGCTTTTTGATTATTATTGTTATTATTATTTTTCTGATTAATGCAACTAATTAGTGCCTGAGCGTGATTGAACTTCCAGGTGGCAGCGGCGAGAGGGAAGCCCCCGCTCTTGCGATGCCCTTCCGGCCGCCCCATCCCTGGCAAAACAAAATCCCGGCGTCTCGCCGGGAAAAACCGGCCTTCGGCATCGTTCCTGCCCACGGCCGCCCCTAAGGCAGCAAACCCACCCCCAGACCCCCGGCAAGGCGCTTTCTGGCATCTCCCGGCGGCGTGAGGGGGGCTCGTTTCCATGGGTATGTCCGATATGAATGCCGGGCGCCGGTGTAAGGACGGGAAAATCCTCGCGGAGGCCCCGGGGAGGGGAGGACGTGCCCCGTCTGCGGCTCCGGACGGTATCGCTCTCGCAGCGGCGTGGGCTGGGGATGATTTAAGTGGTCTGAGTTGGTTTTTTCCCATCCCTGAGATTCCTCTGACCGGTTGACGGATGCGCTCCGGTAGCCTGGTGATCCCAAACCGATCCTGGCATGGATGGAGCTGCTGGGAGCGGGATCCGGGCATCCTGGTGCAGGTTACTGATAAATCTCATCCCACCCCATCGGGAGCCCTCTTCTCCCACGGGATGGGCTCGTTCCCGGGGGGAGATGAGGATGCTTGCCCCCAGACACCAGAAGAAGGACCGGCCGGACTTTTCCCCATTGATCTTCCAATGTCAGGTCTTTCGCAGGGTGAGCCGGTGGGGTTTTATTGTTCTGGGGAGCGGAGAACAAAGGAAAACCTTCCTCCGGGGGCATTTCTGTGCTCCTTGGCGTGGACGTCGGGCATGGCGTGCGTCTTTTCCCGTCAGGTTAACAGAGCGATGCCCACCTGGTGCCCGGTGGGTTGGTGCCGGGCTGCTCGGTGACTCTGGTCCCCATCTCTTAGCGAGATGAGCTAATTAAAATCTCATGGTGGAGCTTTTGGGAAAGCCCTGCTGAATTTGCCGGTCTCCTCTCACCGGGCTCTCCCTCTGACTGCTCTGGGAGATGAAGAGGCGGGCGGCGGAGCAGAGGGATCACCCAGGCTTTGCCAGCTGCCTCCGTGGCCAGCGGCAGGGCAGAGCGACATGGGGCGGACACCCCGGGTGGGGCGCAACCCCGGATCGGTGATGGAGCCGATGATTTTAAGTGCGTACAGAGAACCTTCTCCCTTTGCTTGGCAAAGGGGCCGGTGCAGGCGCTGGGACCGGTGGCTGCAGTCGGCTTGCACTTCGTCTTGCCCCGTGGCATTGCGATTGCAATTCTTGTTGCGTTCTTTGCGTTGCTTTGCATTGCGTTGTGTTGCGTTGCGTTGCTTTGCGTTGTGTTGCGTTGTGTTGCGTTGCATCGCAGCTCCCCAGAGCCCGCGCTGGATCCCAGCCTGGGAAGAGCCAGGATCTTGAGTGGATGACTCGGAAGGTGGACTCATCCCAGGAGATGCCCGGCTCCGGCTCCGGTGCTGGCTGTCCTGCAGGCGTGAGGTCTCTTCTTCCTACCCTGGCTCCTAACGACCTGTCCAACCGGTAATGAACTCCTAACATCCTTAGAAGCTATAGGATGGGATCAGCGTGCTTTGCTGGACTCTCCCTAACCCCTGTGCTTAATCATCAGCATCGTTAGAGGGCTGCTTGCTCCTCCAGCTCCGGGCAATGATTTAATAGCAACTGCTCCAGCACGGTGCTGAATCCCATGAGGATACAGGCTAAGGGCTCTGCAAATGTAAATATAAGAGGAGGAGCGGTCTGTCAATGCCAATTTTAAGGGATGTCCACCGTGGAGCTCTGTCTTCCAGAGCTGGGACCGTGATGGTGGCCGGGGCGTCCTCCTGGTCCCTAGCCATGGAGGGCAAAACTACTCGTGGAGTGAAAAAATCTGCTTAAGTCCATTTAAAACCCTGAAACAACCATAGCTACGTCTCCAAGCCTGGGTATTTATAGCTCATGTCATCCCCCATGCTTGCAACCACCATCGGAGGTGGATGCCGGGCTGCAGGACGTGGGAATGCCAAGCCCAGCCCTGGCGAGACCGGGGCCCTCCACGTGCCTATTTTTGGGGGGTTTTGGCCAGCAGCGATTCTCAGATTGAATCCCACTAATTAAAATTATTTGGCAACATCTCTAAACCCCACATATTCTGTGGCTTATTCTCGTTGCTTATTCTCTCATCTAAGGCGATGGTCCCGTGGCTTTAGTCCTGAATATTTCAGAGCTGGTTCGGGCTGGGGGTTTTGTTCTCAAGAGCTTTTCCCGTCATCCTGTTTTTAAAAAATAATTTATTTCATTTAATATTTTCCCCCTTTTGGTTGTTTTCTCTGGGCGTAGCGCAATGGCAGTGTAAAGCGCAGGGATGTGGTCCTCCTCCTGCACAGGCTGGCACCCCGGCTTTGCCTGCATCCCCGTGGGGACCCCATCCTGCTCCCCCCATCCCAGGCTGGGGCTGCCGGGCTGCAGCCGGTGGCCCTTGTACGACGCCGTCGGGGACGCTTGCACGAGCGGTTTTGCTTTTGCAGCAAGAAGAGGAAATGATTTGATGCTTTCACACTGCTCTTTGCAATTTCTGGTTCTCTTTTTTTTTGGTGTTTCTTCTTAACCTCCCCTCGCCTTCCTCTTGCGCTTGGACACTGGCAGCTTCTCCGTCCTCCGGCCATGATCCTCGTGTTTATTGAGCTTTTTCTAGGAAAATCCTGCATCTTCTTGGGAGGAAAAAGAGAAAAAACAAAAAAAAAAAGCCCAGCTCTTGCTAAACTCTTGAGTTTCCAGCTGGTGACCCCTTGCATGTGACCGGGGTTGGGCTGGAAAGTTTCCTTGGAGGAAGGAGAAACGGATTTGGCTGGCGTGGAACGTCAAAACCAGAGAGGGAGCCCCCCTCCATCCTGATTTTGCTTCGGACTGGGGGATGCTCAGAGTGTTTTTGGGCTGGCGCAGGCTACGGCTCCTCTCCAGGATGTGTTTTGCCGTGTGCTGGAGGCTGCCGAGCTGCTGTGCCGGCACCACCAGTGGACACTGCTCCCAGCTGATCTGGCTGCGCGGCGCCATGGGTTGGCATGGGATGGTGACCGCCGAGCCGCTGGGAAGGTGGGTGCGAGCGATGGAGGTGGGAAGGCTGCGGGCAGGCGCTTGCTTTGGGTATTCGGTGCGTGATGGGGCCGAAGTGGCAATTTTTGCGGGAGCGGGATTTGGCCGGTGCTGGTGGACGGGGCCAGGTTCTGCACATCCCCTGTGGATCCTGCCCGGCCATAAATTGCTCTGGCACAAAGAGAAACGGGGTGCAGGTTTGCCGGCGTCACTTTGGCAGGATGCTTGGGACTTCTTGGGCGTGCAAGCCACCGTACAGATGGTTTCTGTTAATTATGGGCAAGTTATTTATGTACCGGCGGTGTGGGTGTTAACGTGTGGGCGGGTATTTTTGGTTTTAAGGTGTGTGTTTACGTGCTGGCTGTGCGAAAGGGCGTGGCGGAGCTGCAGGGGGGCATCGGCAGGCAGCGTGTCTTCCGCCACCGGTTTGGGTGGCAGGGGATGGCTGGGGTCACCGTCCCGGCATGGCACGTGCTCTGCTGGGGTGTCCAATGGGGGTGGGTTTGACCACCCATGGGTGCTGCTGGTCCCTGTCCCACAGGCTCAGGGATGGCTGGGGGAGGCCGGGGGCTCCCCACTGCATTGGTCCTTTGCAGAGCACTGGTCCGTCTAGGCTAGGATGGTGTCCTCCATCAGCTCTTTGTTTCCTCCATTGGCTTGTCGGCGGCATCCTCCATTGGCTCGTCCATGGCGTCCTCCATTGGCTC